TACCTGTCTAGGTCTCTGTCTCCACGCTCCGTGCTAGGTATACCCCAAAATGAGAAAGGTCTATAAGGCAAGAAGCTTGTATTATAAATACTATTTCTTGACCTTGGTATATTGGAAAGACCTGTGGTGTCGCAGGTAATGAATATTTTGCTGATGATTAATGAATAGTTCAATGATATTAAACAAATAATCAGGGGTTAAATTATTTATAATTGTATACATTTCCATGCCAGTTTCTTGATATAGTCTACAATGTGAAGTATCACTTCTTAAACCAGTTATAATCTTCATTGCATCAATCTGTACAGATTCTGATAAATTTGATTCTTCGAAAATTGGTCTAACAAATGAGTAGTATAATGTTTAAAGAGTGTTCCTATCCACTTTATGTTTCTATATAAGTAACAAATTCAGCCGTTTACATGCTTTATTGTATATATCATTAATATGATCTCCCCATGTGCCTTTTTAATAAAATATAAGTCCTAAATGTTTATGAAATATGTTATCTTGAATTACTTGATTATCAAAAATCAACAGTGGGTGAACCCTGTTTTTCTTACTTACAGTTAGTGCAACTGTTTTACAAACAGACTGCTGTTGATTAATTTATCTAAAATACCTGTGATGTTGACTTAAATTTTTGGAAAATAGTATGAAAAGGCTACATGTTTTCTATAAATCAAAGACTTATTAGAATTAAAATCAATTTCGGATATTTTAGCCCAAGTATTAATAGATTCAAGGTCGTCATTCAACTCAGCAGTTGGAGTTGCAATATCATCATCAACAATAACATAGAGAGAGGAATCATCAGCAAACAACTTTATATTGGTATTTATTTCATCAGTTATCATTAATAAAAAGTAAGAATAAGAAAGGTCCAAGTACAGAGCCTTGTGGAACACCAGCAGTTATATGTTTAAATGCAGAATTATAACCATCAAAGATAATTCTTTGTTTTCTATCAGTAAGATAACTTTCAAACCATTTATACAAATTACCAGATATTCCATATTTTTGTTAACCTATTCAAAAGACCCTTATGCCAGGGTCTGGCATAATGGTCTTTTGAATAGGACCAACAGTCAAAAGCTTTACTTATATCACAAAACACTAATCGTGCATCCTTACCTTTATCAATGTTGGTCATAATCAAACTATATATTAAATATATGTTTACCGTGCCTAAATCCAGATTGATGGGGGGATAGGAGGGAGTGAGTGTGCAAAAGATTATAGACATATTTGAAGACACATCTTTCCATTAATTTTCCAACGATCGATAGCAGTGTTATACATGTAGGCCTGTAGTTAGTTAATATAGACTTGTTATCTTTTTTTATGCACGGGGTGACGTTAGCAAACTTTCATTCAGATGGGAATACTCCAAATATAATTGACCTGTTAAAGAGATTACTTATGATGTGATTTACCAGGTCAGGACCAATGGCCTTAGAACATTCATTGGTAAGAATAGCATCTCTGACATCATTAAAAGATCAGATAAAAGGAATTATTACATTCGTCGTTAATGTTAGGGATATTAACACTGGAGTCATCAACTGAAGACTGGACACAAAAGAAGTCATTAAATAATCAAGCTTTCTCAAGGTCAACGCTATTTTTATGAAGCAATGGTGCCGTGGTATACAAATTTTACCAGAGTAAGGTAATAGTTGCTTTACAGTTTTCCACCATCGTTTAGCACTAATGTTAGAAGGTTTGCGAAGTTCGCTACATAAATTAGAAAAGTATGTTAATTTGGCGTGCTTGATTGTGTTAACACATTTGTTACGAAGTCGACAAAACTTTGCCCAGTGAGCTTACGTTTACGAGTTAATCTCCTTAATTCGTTTGATAGCCAAGGCGGTTCATTAGATCTGATGGTTATTTCTTTATTCGGAATACAAGATTTAGCAATAGTAAGTAAAATATCTAAGAAATGTTTGACAACATCATTAATATCATCGAAATCACTCAACAAATTCCAGTTAACTGAGCTTAGTTTTTCCCTAAATAAATCGTAATTTCTTAGGTCAAAAAGCCAAACGTTTCGCTTAAACACCTACTGCACTGGCTTTGAAATATCATAAGAACAGTAAATTGGACAATGATATCTAACCGGTTGGTCAAGGAAGCTTTCTCCAACATAACATTTATGAATAAGGTTATTACTGCTAGTACAGACTATATCTAACAATGACTCAGAGGCTTCTGTATAAAAAGTTGGTGATTTAACAAGCTGAGTTTGATTAAAGGAAACAAGTATATCGCTTAAGTTGGCGGATGATGGTCTACTAGGGCATTTGCTTTATAGTCGCCGTTATCACAATATGAGAAATACCTGTATTATACGCTTTTCCTATAGAATGCGAGTTATGGGACCATATGCATTATGCATTATATATTGACATCAGTTGGTTGACTGTAGAGTCTCTAGGTTGAATTCCAGACTGGTGCTCACTGATAATATGGTGTTTGGTTACATAATTAAAGACATACTAAAAAATTGTTTTTTCTAATATTTTATTTCAAATGGGTGTAATTGCAATCGGTCTATAATTATTTGGATCACCAATAGCTCATTTACCTTTATATAGAGCATTAACTTTAGCAGAGGAATACTATCATTAGTAACTGTTTTAGTAAAGAGAATTTTAAGTGGTAAAAATTATAGAAGGTAGAAGATTTTTTATTATTTGAGGAGAAACATTGTCGGGCCCAGGAGGTTTATTATCCCTAATTAGCTGGACTTGCTCAATTATGTCTTGAGCTGATATTATAATTTCACTAAGGTTGATATGACGAAGGACAGGTAAATCCATATCAGAATTGTTAATATTATTAGTATCATCAACCGAGTTAGAAATAGAAGTAATTACATTATTAATAGCTTCTGCTTTATCCAACGGATGAATCAAAATATCATTACCAACTTTAAGAGGATGAGAAGGTTCTTTTTTATTGGAAAGACCACTTATGGACTTAGCAATACGCCACCACTTACTAGGTGGTATGGTCTTACCTACAAGAGAGTTTTGAAGTTTCCTTAGATATGTATCTTTAGCTTTTCTAATAAGGTCAGTTACACTATTTCTCAAAATTCTAAAAGTATGCCAGTTATTTACTTTATTAGTATGTTTTGTTATTTTATGTAATCTATTCTTTTTCCTTTACTGGGTTCTTATTTCATTAGTCATCCATGATTTATCATTTGGCTTTACTCTTATTACTTTACATGGAATATACTTTTCGGTAAGCAAGTTTATTTGATTTATAAGTATACTATTTATCTCATTTACATTATTATTATGTCCAATTAATGTATTCCAATCAATTGCTAGAAGACATCTATTTATTTCATTTCAGTTACATTGTAGCTTCACTAAATTTAAAAACGTCTTTTACAAATGATTTCACTTTTAATACTTTGAAACATAAATTCATAACAATAGGACAGTGGCCACTACATAGCGGTGATAGGACTTCTGAACACTGCACTATGTTTACAATATGTTAACATAGAATATGTCAATACCAGTTGCTGTTGTATTAGTTATTCTTGTAGGACATTGAATGATATTTTTTAGCTGAAACTTAGTTAAAATTCTTGCAAGATGTGTGTTAGAAGAAAGAGAAAGCATATCCTGGTTAATATCACCAGTAATAATAGCATTACAGGTTACATTAGTCAGTGTATCAATTAAGTTATCCAATTTATTCCAGTAAGCAACATTTGAGTTTGGAAGTCTGTAAATACAAATGTACAACAAAGAAAACACATTTTGTTAGATGATCTAATTTCTAAGACAATATTTTCCAAATTAACTGATTCAAGATCAAATCTTCTTGTAGCATGAATATTATCTTTGGTATATATCATGACACCTCCACATTGCCTTTCCTTCCTATCATTTCTAAAGAAAGTAAGATGTGACTCTAATTTGAGATCAGTATCATTGACAGAATCATCTAGATGAGTTTCAGAAAAGCAGAGAATGTCATTTTCAACAAATTCACTTTCAACAAGTTCAAGCTTATTACGCAAAGAACGAACATTAATATGAAGAATCGATATATTGCTTAATTCATATTTATCTTGACAACTAAAAGTTTACCGAGCTTAAACATCTACCTGAATATAAATAACATAAACAAGGCCAACTAATAAAATAAAAATAGTAATAAAATTACAAAACAACAACAAATAAACCAACAAATAACAATAATGAAAACCATAAGACGACCAATGATATATCATATCATTCAAGAGTCAAAAATTATAGGGTAATTGATATTTACACGTAAGTGAAATCAACAATTTGAATAGCACCAATGTCAGTTTTCATATATTTATGTAAATTAGGTACTGATAAACTATTTGTCAGTTGAAACAGGGAAGGAAGAGCTGATATCTTTAATCCCTTGGATGTTTAATCAAACTATCAAATTAAATCGAATATATAAAGTAGTGTATAGAGTTGTTACAAACTAACAATGAATAGTTGTATAGAGTATGTTGACCGTTTGATCCATAGACAAGGGTTATATATATATATATAGCATCAACAAATTGACTCGGAACTACATGACAACAATTAGTCTCTATTTTACGTAATCCTAGTCTAATACGGAAGTAAAATTTGACATTATCGTTTGGTTAAGGCCGCCTGATGGAAGGGCTACAACATTTTTGTACATGTTTAACTTTGATCTGAGGTGTAAACAAGTAAACGAAAGATGCAGTTCCTATATACAATAACTACTTGATCACATGATTTTCAGCAATATATTTTATGACGAATTTATTGATTGATTAATGCATATCAATAAATCAAGGATGATTTAAGCATATTTCTTTTACATAATAAACATACCGGAAACAATTTTTGAATACAATTGTATATTGTTTTCTGGATTACCTTCAGATCATAATAGAAGGCCTTATTTTATTTTTAAATATAGATATCTAATGTATTCCATCTTTTTGATTCCAGTGCGGAGCTGATACCCATAGTATTAGGAGCCAGGAAGGAAGACTACGCCCAAGTATTACCTAAACATTCTTACATCCATGTGGAAGACTTCGAGTCCCCTCAAATGCTAGGCGAATATTTAAATCTGTTGGACAAAAATGACACCTTATATAATGAATATTTCAAATGGAAAGAGACAGGAGATAAAATCATCGATGATTTGAATTGGTGCAGAGTCTGTACACTTCTCCATGAAACGTCACTTCCGGTCATGTGGTATGAGGACATCCAACATTGGTGGAAGCCAGATGGAGCCTGCAATGGTGCTAAAAAATGGGATTAATTGTTCTTTTCTTTTCCTTTATTAATATTAATTAAAACATTTTTTAACAACTTCACAAAGAGAGAATGGGAGGGGGTGGAATTTTAAACATTCATCAGTGAATTGTTTTGTCTCCAAATCTATCCAGGTGCTGTAATTTGCAGTTATCTATCGATAATGCCAGATTACTGCAGTAGACATGTCCGTCAGATATATGTCAATGCATGTATAGTCATAACCCATACCCGGATGTGTTCAAGTGGCTAAGGTCAGTGTAGCCTATGGCATTACTGACCAGGCGAAAAGAAATAGTGACTATAACGCTGGACCAAGTGTATATACTCGGACTATACATATATTGCTGTTGGCAAGTAACACCCTAGGCTCAAATGATGGTTGCCAAAATACCAGGAAGTATGGTATGTACTATTTTACTCCGAGGACGGTTTAACCATTTTCCGGACACAAGGGAATATGAAACGGATGTTTGTTATTTGTGTACGTTGGTATCCAACTTTCGTACCAGTGTTTGTGGGTGTTTGGTTTTTTATTTTATTTAGCATCGTCTATAGAGCACAATTTCCATACAAACACGTTTCTTTACAAAAAAGGATTTCGGAAACATTTGTTTTCGATATTGAATATGATTCAACAAAACATTCTGAAAATACTATTTTCCATGTGGAGCCATGGAATTACGATTACGATTCGGACGACGAATTGTTGACAACTCCATTATCACTGAAAGTAGCATCAACTCGAACATATTCAGTCTCGACATCGGCTAAAATAACAGCATCATCTTCTACGGAAAGGTCAAGTGCGCTGCCACCTAAAGAACCTACTGAACTAACAACTAAATTCCAGGGAAGGACTTTTCAGAAAATGGCGACTCTGGAAATTTATGATTCAAAGTTTACAGACGAATTTGACCACGGTGTGTCTCGTGACATACTGGACCTACTGCCTGTTCGGACTCACATTTTAGACATGTCAATCCCTGAAAAAGATGTGAAATATAACGCTGGACGAATTTTCCATCAACTGAATCACGTGTCAATAAAGTATAACTCCGCCAATGTCAAGGTTGTTTATCTCTCAGGAAAGCAAGGTTTTTGGCACCATCCGCCAGGGATGGCGGCGTTTGAGCAGTGTCGTATAAAGGCATGTAAGATAACATACGATACAAAACATGGAGCTGACGCTGACGCAGTTGTGTTTAGTAACCCTGGGCAACTTCCACGGATACCTCCATTTCCGAGGAAGTCTCCGAATCAAGTATGGGCGGTATCTATGATTGAGTGCCCAATGAATTCTAGGACGCTGAAAAAGTACAACGGGCTTTTTAATTGGACCATGACTTATCGAACTGATTCAGTGATAGAAACACCGTATTTCAAATACCAGAAATATAAGGACGTTTACACTAAGACAAACATTACGACAAATTACGCCAATGGGAAGACAAAAAAAGTTGCTTGGTTAGTTTCTAATTGCATGATGACAAGAAGTGGGAGGATGGCTTATGCTAAAAAACTTGCCAAATATATTGAAGTAGATATTTATGGTGCATGCGGAACAAAACGCTGCCCCCAGATAGAGGATGAAAAATGTATGCGCATGCTCGAGACTGATTACAAGTTTTACCTGGCGTTCGAAAACACCAAATGTCTGGATTACGTCACCGAAAAAGCTGTCAAGGCGTTAAAGTAAGTGATCTTTATCTAAGGGTAACGCATTTCATTTCTTTACTCTTAATTATGTTGAAAATAACGCATTGATTTGCTTGTCGTGAGCTTAAAACCTATATACATGGAACATTTTATTGCAGCTAATTTATTAAAACATGTGGGTTTTTTAAATGAACGTTTAAACGGGTTTTTACACTGGTGAAGCAGTTTTACCGTTTATTCGGTAATCAGAAGAATTAATTGTACCAACCGGCTAATAAACTCGTACATGTAACAGTGAACTGTTTGGTTGGAGCAAAACCCAAAAATATACTCATTACGGTTTTATCATTCTGTGAGAACGGTACATACGTTAACGGATCCCAGTGTAACTTTGATTTATCTAAGATTTGTTTGCTGTGATCGGGTGTTTTAACGGTGTATGTAATGGGTTATATTTCAACATTAAAAGTTGTTGTGTGTACAATGGTACAGGTTGTACTTCACCTCAGTAAATAAATCGGCTGCTAAACCATGGTAAAAAAACGTTTAGACTGTTTGTAACCATCGGAAAAAATACGGCGACAAATTATGGTAACACTAAAATATAGTTGTTGTTACACATGGGATTTCTGGGCCAATATATCTTTTTAACGATTCTCTTTTCATTTTCTGATTATTTATTAAATTAGTTTATTTATCATTTTCCAGATATAGCTTAAGATATTGTGTTTGATTTTCGAATCTAATTATCATTATTAAAACTGTTCTTTTTGTCTCTTTTCAGAAACAAAGTAATACCAATAGTGCTAGGCGCCCCGAAGGCCACATATCAGTCGATACTTNTTAGACTGTTTGTAACCATCGGAAAAAATACGGCGACAAATTATGGTAACACTAAAATATAGTTGTTGTTACACATGGGATTTCTGGGCCAATATATCTTTTTAACGATTCTCTTTTCATTTTCTGATTATTTATTAAATTAGTTTATTTATCATTTTCCAGATATAGCTTAAGATATTGTGTTTGATTTTCGAATCTAATTATCATTATTAAAACTGTTCTTTTTGTCTCTTTTCAGAAACAAAGTAATACCAATAGTGCTAGGCGCCCCGAAGGCCACATATCAGTCGATACTTCCAAGCGGATCTTTCATTCATGTAGAGGACTTCCGGTCTCCTGAGGAACTTGCGCAGTATTTACACAAATTGGACAAAAACGATACTTTGTATAATGAGTACTTCCGTTGGCGGGAGGAGGGCGAGTTCATTGAAACAAAGCCATGGTGTCGACTGTGTGGGCTTCTGCATGAACCCCTCCTGCCCCCCGTGTGGTACAATGACATTGAACAGTGGTGGCGACCAAAGGATGTTTGTATCGGTAAATCGGATTGGGCGGATACATTGTCATGACGGTGAACCTCAATAAAAATAAAACCTGACCCTGTCATGAAATTTACGTACTATAAGTATGTTCCAAGCATCACTACGTGTATTTCACAGCAGTACAGTTTGATAGCATCGTCTTTCTCCAAGCAGAGGAAGAAGGAGGAATGGTCGACATGTCAAGCTGACAAACATGAAGCTTACCAAGCCGAGGGTTCGGATCCCAAATCTCAACCACTAGGAGTGATTTTTCGGATACGTTTATCCACCAACTTTTCAGTTTTCAGTCCCCGTCCTAGAATGAAGGCAAGCTTAACACGGTGACCTGGAAGTAGGACCTGCTTTAGGTTGATACAATACATACTTAATACGAAAGGTTTATTTTATGTTTGATACGCACACATTTACTTATTTGTCTAGTGGGACTACACTTTTCTACACTATTGACTATCTTTGCTCAGTCCCGACATATTCCTATGGTGTTTAGTAACAGTAATTGGTAGGAGAAAAGGTGCAATGTTTCCGCTTTGTGTGAGGGATAAAGCCTGGGGAGTTAAATCAAAAGGGTGGAATCTCAGCCCTCGGGGTAAGATTAACTGATGTATAGCTCTCTCCGACGTCTCGGGCTCGACATATATATTTTTCTTTCTTAATTTCAAAGTGTGGAAAGGGAACCTCGATAATTCATTCACCCTTTTTACAAGCAAAAGTGGCTGGTTTAGGAGACAACTCGATTACTGGGACAGATTTTTACAGGAAAAATCACAGTTATGCATCCAAACAATACGAAAACCGGATAAGTGGTGGCTGGATGATCGAGGTTCGACTTTTAGATCTAATCATAGCAAAGTTAACGTTATTAAAAGTCTTCAAAGTGTTAAAATCTTGACGTTAAGCTAACTATACATTGAACAACTTGGCCTATATTGTATTATTACTATTTACTTATTGTTGAAAATTATTTATTTGTATTTGTAGCTCTAACGATTAAGTTTGCTGGCGGGCTTTTTTGTCAATGCCTTGCGGATTGGGACTCCGGGGCTCCGCACCCAATGTTTATTTTTATATTTCTCAACAATAACAATTTATCAAAGCTTGAACACAACAGTAATATAATTTATTTACATTGTATATGGCGTTTGATTTATTTGTTTTAATGAATATCAGAAAAATGAATACTGTCTATAATTAAATGACTTAAATGATACGACATGCTTAAGAATAAGATACTCAAGCAAACTGTGATAAGACGGAAGTTCACTGTTACACTAGTAATTATCTACGACATTACTTGCAATAATTTTAAATTAACCTTTAAAGCAATTTATACATTTAAACGTTACAAGACGCTTAATTGAGCGTTTTTAGATAACGCCAAACTAATAACTTAATCTCCAGATTTAGAGGTTTTACATAATTTAACAGCAACAACAACATCAGCAGCAGCAACAACAGCAAGCTGCTGCTTCTTAGCCGCCCTCGCTGCAATGTCAACAACATATTTTCTCGGTTTGGTCGATCTGCACAGGAGAAGGTCACACTCGTCATTGATATCATACTGAGTATCCTTGTCTCTGGGACGATTTTACAAAGTTCAAATGCCTTCCAAACAACTTAAAAATTAGCCGTTTCCCTTATATGGCCTCACTTCTGATTACTCTTGGATAAAACAATCTCTATATTTATACAACATTAAATTTTCTTGGCCAAGGGATGCTCCGTTCCATGTAAGGTTAACATAGTTTCACTCGTACTGAAGGAGGCGTTTTTTATTTACCCCTGTATGACCTCACTTCTCTTTTTCACCCTATGTATTCAACGTTAAATTCCCTTCAGCCTGGGGTGTTCCGAACCACAGGGACCTGAGAATTTGTTACAGCTATATTTGTACCTAAACTAAGTTGTTCAGAGTAATTCTACACGTTAAGGAGTAAGATCAACTTTCTGTATAACATCATCATTGGGGTGTCTTTTTTTACCGAAAGTTTATCTTAACCACTAAAACGTGTAAAATTACTCTGAACACCTTAGTTTAGTTCCAAATATATCCGTAACTAATTCCCAGGTCCCTGTGTTCCGAACAAAATAAGGATAGTTTATTCTAACTAAAGGAGCAATAATTAAGAACGGAATTCCCAGTTTCTCCATACAGTTTCAATCTTCCGCCCCTTAACCCTGTGATTCCGAAGGAAACAAATGTCATCAGTATATATCTATTACTAAATCCCTGTGATTCCGATAGAAACACATGCCATCATTATATATATCTATTACAAAAACCCTGTGATCGAGCGTCATTGTTCAGGCCAAAAAATTGCTTTCAACAAACCGTTTCAAAAATGAGCATAAACTATTTTATGAAGAAAAAAGATGAGCCCAGAAAAAGTACAATTCAATGTTTTTACACTGACATGTTACCTTAACTATGAACTATTCAAAACAGTAGGAATATTGTTTGTTCTAGGTTACAATTCTAGCGAACCAGGTACTGAAGTAATAGCGCAGGATGAAATTGATATATATAGTAATGAAATTGTGTCAGCATTAATAAATTCGGCTAAAGAGTCTATACCTGAAGTAAAATTTAAAAAGCATCTAAAGTCGTACTGGAATAAACAGTTGGCATTGTTTCACGATACCATGATATGAGTCAGAGCGCTATGGCTGAGGGACGGGAAACCACGAGATGTATTAACTGATAGTTACAGAGATTACAAACAGGCTAAAACTGATTTCAGAAGGCGCCTAAGGCAATCGTTTGAAAAGTACATGACAGCGCAGTTTACAGAGATAGATACATCTGAAAAAATTGACCAGAAATTATTTTGGCAACTATTAAAGAGCAAAACACCAAAGAAACAATGTGCTCAAACTGAGTTGAAGTACGACAGAGTCACTTATCGTAATTCAAACGATATGTTAGAAAAATGGGCATGCCATTTCATAGATATATCTACTGATAAGGCAGACAATCGTGTCGATAACAAGTTTCAGAGCGAGATATTATAATGTGTTAGCGACATTGAAATTGGGCTTTCCAATGGAAAGGACAAGTATTTGGATGACCCTGTTATAGAGCGTGAAATCAAAAATATATGTTGTAAATTAAAACTAAACAAAGCTGGAGGGATTGATGATATTATGTATGAACACTTCAAGTACGGGAGTAAATTGCTATATAGTCGTTTGTCGAAGTTATACAATGCTGTCATTAAGTCTCAACATATACCTGATGATTGGAAAAAAGGCCTTATCATAACACTGTATAAGGGAAATGGTAAACCGAAAGATGACCTGAATAGTTATAGCGGGGTGACACTTTTACCTGTAATATTCAAAAAGTTTTGAAATAGTTTTGTCAAAGAGATTGGATCCTGTCCTTAGCACGGATAATTTCCCAAACAGGCAACAATTAGCATATCAAAAGGGGTTATGAAGTCTGCTAACGTCTTTTAATCTTCAAGAATGTATACAGTATAACACCGAGAAAGGAGAAGACGTACATGTAGGATTTCTCGATAGCAACAAGGCTTTCGACACCGTTTGGCATGCTGGGTTGCTCTCTAAACTGCATGAATTAGGAATAAAATGTAAATCATGGAACATTATGAAAAATATGTATACCAATGTACAAAGTAGTATTTTAGTGAACGGATTGAGGTCAAGACGGGTAACAATGGAGAGCGGTATCTTACAGGGAAGTGCTCTTTCAGCAAAATGTATATCTTGTTTTTATAAATGAATTGTTGAACATTATTGGAAAATGTTGGAAGGGTACAGTAATAGCAGATCTGCGAGTTAACATTCCCACATAAGCAGATGATATCTGTATAATTAATGCTAAATATTCTGATCTGAAATACATGCTTTCTATATATGTGATGAGTACAGTATGAAATGGAGATATACATTATCTTCTGCTAAAAGTAAAGTTGTAACTTTTTCCTGTAAAAGAAGAAATATTGAATGTAAGACTTTGTATTTATATAATTGTATTCTTCCGAATGTTGATGATATCGTCCATGTTGGTGTAATGATGAACAGTAAATTTAATTCAATAGAGCGTACCTTACGTGCATGTAACAAGTTACGAAGCGGAACCATGAGCATCTTTCGATGTGGAGCCCATCCAAGTGCTTTCAATCCACTAACTTTAAATAGAACTATAAAATGTAAAGTGTATGCTGCAGCCTGATATGGTTGTGAATTATGGTGTTTATTAAGAACAGACATGTTAATGCTTGAAAGAGCACACCATTTTATCGTGAAAGCAATACAAGGTTTTGAGACTAAAACCCGTACAGATATGTGTACAAGTCTACTTGGATGGACTAGTATAGAATCCTATAGACACTAGAAATTGTTGTTCCTAGGTAGGTTACGTATAGATTAGATAAGACGAATTTGTCGTCTCGTGTATTCTTTACAAAATATTTTCTCGTTGATATAGAATCTAAAGTCAATTCAAATAGACCAGGGTTCGCAGTTGATATACTAAGAATACTGCCAAAGTATAAATTGTTTGAAGTGTTTAATGATTTTATAACTAACTGTGCTTTCCGTCTAAATGTATGTGGCGTGTTAAAGTAAAGAATGCCGTATACTCAGTAGAGGAATTAGCGTGGCGAGAAAGAATGGCCAATGGTGGCGAGTATACTAGATTTTCTCTTATCCACGGTCATTTAGTACCACATGTATTATGGAGACTGGCATTTAAATTCCCAGCCAAAAGAGAAGCTATACAATATGTCATGAAATTAATTGTAACTATCAGAGAGTGTGAGGGTGAAGAATTATGTCATAAATGTGGCTTTATGTACAGTGATATAGCCACCCATATAGTTCTACAATGTGATTATACAGGAGAGTCAAGAGATAATTTATGGTGTGATATTATAAATATAAAAGACATTATGTTTAGTGTGTACTTACATTCCATGTCTGATTATGATCTGTTTCTTATGAGTTGAATTCATCGGAGTTAGATGACTTTCGCATAAAATCTGTAACTTTTCTACAAATGATGTTTTTACCTAAACTTTATAATGTGTCAATTGTAACATTTTTCCTTTTTTTGTATTTCGTATGATGGTCATCTCTCAAGTAACTTAAGATAAGTTAAGGAGCGTAGTGACGCAAAGGGGAGTTAACTCCATCGTAACCCTTATTTTACAAACAATTTATCTTTTGAATTTCCGTTTGTATATTGTCATATAACATGTACGTTACTTTGTCAATCTTCTATGAATGCATATATGTATTGTTCTGTTTGTGAATCTTCGATTCGGAGGAAATAAAGAGAATAATAATCCAGATATGCAGGACATTTGATATATCACCTTTATGTTAGCTCGGCTGCCAAGGAGAGAATTTACCTGAAATTAGAGTCTTTGTTGAGCTATCATACCTAACTCGCATCTCTTAACAAACCGGAGTAATAATACCCGGCGTTCTACTGTACTCAAAACAGAACCCACTACGGTGTTATCTTAAACGAAATTAAGGGGAGGTAACTGTTTGTATATATTACGAGCGTACGTTTTTAAAAACACACTTTTTCAACAGCAGGCACACTACTTCTGAGAATCCCACAGTAGTTTTTCATACAAACAGTTACCTCCCCTTAATTTCCTTTAAGATAAAGCGGTAGTGGGTAGGGCAACCCCAGAGGAAGTGTTTCGTTTTGCACACGGCACGCAAATACAGACTATATTACCGATCGCCGGATGTCGGTTTGTCAGTTCAAAAATGGCGGTCGAAGTGTCAACATCAACAAGCTCTTGGTTAGATTCCTCTGGAATTTGGCTTTCCTGTATCAATAAGAAAGTCTACACTGTACAAATGAGAGACTGTCCAAGTATAAAAGTAAAAGTTCGTGTAGGACACCTAGCGCCAGCAAACAAGACTGCTGTTAGACGTTGCATCCTGTTCGCCGACGACGAGTTACTGGAGTCAACATTCGCCAACAAAACGTCACCAGCCTTGCTACTAGTCAACAATTCTTGTAATTTTAAGGTATTTTTGTTTTTCTTACAAAGTCAAATCCAAGAAAAAACGAAGCGAATTATTGGGAAATATTTCTTGTTTTTGAAAACCGATGATTTCTTTCAAATGAACAAATTGGGTCTTCAAACAGTGCAAACCGACACCATGTACATTTGTGCATGTATTGCAATTGTGTTTTATACATATACCTATTTTATGGTGTTCTATGACGAAGTTCTCTTTGTGTGTTATATAATATTTTCCTTTTGTTTCAGTTTTACAAAGATGCAGCCAGTGGTAATTTTAGCATTGGAAGGGAGCCTTGGGCTGTACTAGTATGGTCATTTGCCATTGTTCCAGGAGCAACTTTCCAAGGGAGACCTGATCATATCAATGCTCTAGATCTACCCGGTATGCCTGTTCACAATCTGAACTTTCTAGATCAAGTTCAACAATGTTCATGTCTTGGTGGAGGAAGCATCTTTGTGCAAATTGAAAATAATGCTATTTCAAGAACTGAACTTACTGACTTGGGCAGTGACAGTGATGAGGATGACGACCAAAGTAGTTCGGAACCAAATAGTGATGAGGATGAACATTACACTTCCATCATTCAGATAAGAGGATCAACATACGGGGAACATTACCGGCAAAATTTAAAAGATGTGCAGAGTGCCCTAAGACAATGTCCATTTGTGCCAGTCAGACTTTTGTCAGAAGAAGACAATCCAATGTTACTGTTAATAGCAAGGACCTTAAGCTTGGCTATATAGGTGTAAAACATATACCAAAGGTAACAAAGGCTATGAAATCGAGAGAAATAGTGAAGACATCTATGAAGTCCGTCACATCGTGGTACGTCAGAAACATTAGTTCGAGAAAACTGAAGGGATCCATCATTATCTGCAAGAAAGGGAAATGGCTTCCAGATTCAGACAATAATGTTTATAATGCAGATTTGTAAATATTTAATTGTCATATGTAAATGTACATATGTATAAATACAAAAATTACTGGGGCAACCCTATGGTTTCCGGAGGGCCTGGGTTGCAATCCTTATTTGGCTCGTGGTACTATCACTCCCAAAACACTGTTGTCGAGCATAAAAAAAAATCATAAAAGTTCCGAAAGGTGTTTTTTTTTATATAAGATTTATTAACCTAGCTATATTCTAATGCCGGAAGATAAATTTTCAATTTGTGTAATTATGTAGTTTAGATTTGTTTTAAACATATTTTATTGTAATTTATATAACAACTTATATTAAGCCCTTTTCCTACAATTTATTACTAAAAATTATCAAGATGGCATATTTTTATCAGTCCTTGGTAGTTTTTTCATGAAAATCCAAGAATGAAGAAAATCCTTTTAATATGCTATGTCCATTTATAACTGAAGGTACCAGATTCTCATAACATAAAAATACCAAATCACCTATTCTGTAAACCTACAAACAAAATAATACACCCCTGACGCCCAAGAAATAAGGGAAATAACTCTAAAGTGACTTAGCGAAAATCGTTTATAGCAATATATATCTCATACATCCTGCAGGTGGGAAAGTCACTTTTGATAAAACAAGGGATGGAAGCAGGGTAAAAAGTTAAGTTGAAATAAAGGATACGCAATAGAAAAATAACCATATAACAAACCAGTCCCCGACTGATATAGGAAAGCTGCAACGTATGTGTTCTGACCACGTGCGGGTAGTTCCGTTTATAACAAGGACAAGTCTACCACCCCACAGCAATTTTATGTTCAGTCGAACATATTTATGTAAACATGAGTACCTTCAAATGGATACATATATATGTACCACCGTGGGGCGATATATAATCTGAAGCGGTACACCGTTTTTAGACTGTTCAAAGCTTAAGAGGAGGATATAGAATAGGAAGAACTGTATTACCACTATAAACTGTATAAAACGACCCGTAAAATAGGTCCTCTCGCTCATTCGGCGTCAAACCCTACAAGGTTAGCGCGGGTAAAGGAGGGAGGCCAATTGTGCTATATGGCCCTATCAATTAGGTAGGAATAACGGGATATACGAATAATGAACTAATAATCAATATCTGTTTATCTAACACAGCGAATAGTGTAATAACAACAATATCCAATCAATCAAAATAATAAACAAATTAAGTTAATCTTACAAAAACTAATAAACATATATTAAATTCAAAAAAAACAAAAACATTTCACTTCCGGTTGATCTAAGAAAGCTGCAACGTATGTGTTCTGACCACGTGCGGGTAGTTCAGTTTAAAAAAAGGACGAATCTGCTATCCTACAGCCATCTTATGTCTAGCCGCTCATATATATGTATACATGAGTACCTTCAAATGGATACATATATATGTACCACCGTGGGGCGATGTACAATCTGAAGAAGTACGCCGTTTTTAGACTATTCAAAGCTTAAGAGGAGGATATAGAATAGGAAGAACTGTATTACCACTATAAACTGTATAACACGACCCGTAAAATAGGTCCTCTCGCTCATTCGGCGTCAAACCCTACAAGGTTAGCGGAGGTAAAGGAGGGAGGCCAATGGTGCTATATGGACCTATTAATTAGGTAGGAATAACGGGATAAACGAATAATGAAGTAATAATCAATATCTGTTTATCTAACACAGGAAATAGTGTAATAGCAACAATATCCAATCAATCAAAATAATAAACAAATTAAGTTAATCTTACAAAAACTAATAAACATTTATTAAATTTAAAACCCCCACTAACATCAGTTTCACTTCCGGTTGATGTAAGAAAGCTGCAACGTATGTGTTCTGACCACGTGCGGGTAGTTCCGTTTATAAAAAAGGACGAGTCCGCCACCCCACAGCAATCTTATGTCTAGTCGCTCATATATATGTATACATGAGTACCTACAAATGGATACATATATATATGTACCACCGTGGGGCGATGTACAATCTGAAGCGGTACGCCGTTTTTAGACTGTTCAAAGCTTAAACGGTGGAAATAAAGTAGCACAGAAATGTATTACCACTATAAACTGTATAATACGACCCATAAAATAGGTCCTCTCGCTCATTCGGCGTCAAACCCTACAAGGTTAGCGCGGGTAAAGGAGGGAGGCCAATGGTGCTATATGGCCCTATTAATTAGGTAGGAATAACGGGATAAACGAATAATGAACTAATAATCAATATCTGTTTATCTAACACAGCGAATGGGGTAATAACAACAATATCCAATCAATCAAAATAATAAACAAATTAAGTTAATCTTACAAAAACTAATAAACATTTATTAAGTTAAAAAAAAAACTTAAACATTTCACTTCCGGTTGATGTAAGAAAGCTGCAACGTATGTGTTGTGACCACGTGCGGGTAGTTCCGTTTATAAAAAGGACGAGTCTGCCACCACACAGCAACCTTATGTCTAATAGAGTAAAATACTATATATATGTGTATACATGATTAAATACACGTAAATGTAAACACAACAACCACTAAAATATCCTCACACAATCAAACAACCAACCCCTCCCCCTCCCACAAACCATCCCAAACACCACTCCGGTCCAGATTAACAGCATTTAATAAAACCCATAAATCCTTCTGCACATCTCTTGACACCCAGCACATCTTTCAACATCCATCCCATCCAGGTTATAACGCAACTATAACACTAATCCGGATTAAGGAGTGCAAGAAAATATACTCAAAAGCTATTAGTATCTAGAATATAATGGTGACATTTGTTTCTTTCGAATCACAAGGTTTTTGTAGGAGATATATATATAATGATGACATGTGTTTCTTTACCTGTGTACCATGATTTCAACGGGTTCAGGACTACTTCTTTACAAGGAAAATAATGATTTAGGGGTAAGAATCTCCTCCGGGGCGGAAGATTGAAACTGTATAGGGAAACTGGGAATTCCGTTCTTAATTATTGCTCCTTTAGTTAGAATAAACTATCCTTATTTTGTTTGGAACACAGGGACCTGGGAATTAGTTACGGATATATTTGGAACTAAACCAAGGTGTTCAGAGTAATTTTACACGTTTTCGTGGTTAAGATAAACTTTCGGTAAAAATGCGACCCAAATGATGATGTTATACCGAAAGTTGATCTTACTCCTTAACGTGTAGAATTACTCTGAACAACTTAGTTTAGGTACAAATATAGCTGTAACAAATTATCAGGTCCCTGTGGTTCGGAACCCCACAGGCTGAATGGGATTTAACGTTGTATAACTGAAGGATGTATCTAGGGTGAAAAAGAGAAGTGAGGCCATAAAGGGGTTATTGCTTACAGATGATGGTAATTCTGCATCTTGTGACATCCTTGACTTGTAGTCCGTCACTGCTGTCATTCTAGTCGCGAAGCCTCATTTGACGTCATCAGGTGATGGCCAGCCCTCTTCAGATNGGGTTATTGCTTACAGATGATGGTGATTCTGCATCTTGTGACATCCTTGACTTGTAGTCCGTCACTGCTGTCATTCTAGTCGCGAAGCCTCATTTGACGTCATCAGGTGATGGCCAGCCCTCTTCAGATGTTTCGACCCTTAATCACTACATCCTCCGGCTGGTGGGTCAGTAGTGGTGGCCAAATCACTACTCGTCTATGTCGGCTTTCACATCGGCTCTTCTCGTATATATTTTTAAAAAAAAAACGTCTCCTTCAATACGAGTGAAACTATTTTAACTTAACATGGTATGCTCCATCCCTTGGACAAGAAAATTCAATGTTGTATAAATGTAGAGATTGTTTTATCCGGGAGTAATCGGAAGTGAGGCCATATAAGGGAAACGGCAATTTTTTAAGTTGTTTTGAAGGCATTCGTCCCAGAGACAAGGCTATTCAGTATTATATCAATGACAAGTGTGGCCTTCCCCTGTGCAACCTGTTGTTGTTGATGTTATTGTTGTTGTTGTTGTTATATTATGTAAAATCTCTAAATCTTGAGATTAAGTTATTAGTTGGGCGGTATTTAAAAGCGCTCAATTAAGCTAAAGTCCTGTAACGTTTTAATGTATGAATTTTTTTAGAGGTTCACTTTATGTTCAGGAGGCACGGTAGTGTAGTGGTAGGACTCCGGTCTCGTGGCCGAAGGGTTACGGGTTCGAGTCACGACAAGACACTTTGAGCAATATACTTTACTCCGCTTGTTCCAGTCTACTCAGCTGTAAATGAGCACTTGGTTGGGCGGTGCTAGAATTGTAGAATGCTAGCTGTGAGCGCCGAAATTGCAGCACCGGCTGTATGCTCCCCAGAGAGTAGAGAAAGATATTGCCTGGTTGCAAAGGCGCATAATAATTTGTGAACCGCATTGAGACGACCTACGCACTAGGTTGTGATAAAGCGGTATATAAGAACCTCGGATTATTATTATTTTTATTATCATGTTTAATTCTATTATTTCCTTTAAAGAAAATAGTAGCAGGGATTTTGAATTTGAAACTATTCCCAGTAATGATAATTACTAATGTAACAGTGAACTTCCAGCCTTTTCCCAGTTTGCTTGTATATCTCATTCTACTACGTCATATCATTTAAGTCATTTCAGTATAGACAGTATTCATTTTTCTAATATTCGTTGAAACAAATACGCCAAACCGCATACACAATGTAAATCAATTATATTACTGTGGTGTTTAAGCTTTGATTAATTGTTATTGTAGAGAAATATAAGAATAAACATTGGTGCGGAGCCTCGGAGTCCCAATCCGTAAGGCATTGACAAAAAATCACCCAGCAAACTTAATCTGTGACGGACGCGAATATATATCATTCTAATAAATGTGTAAAGCTGTTCTGTGTGGTAAATGGTCTGGCATTCGTAATTCAGATGATGTCGAATTGGAGCTCTCCTTCGTTGGAGATACAATCACCTTAACCTAATTCGTCCGGCAATCATAATATGATCATATTTTCTATTTGTGTTTAATTTTATTTTCTAATTGGTGTTTTTCAGTCTAAAAGCAACAAATAAATAACTGTTTCAACACAGCAGATTTATTTAAAATAAATCATTTTCAACAATAAATAAATAATAATAATACAATATAGGCCAAGTTGTTCAATGTATGGTTAGCTTAACGTCAGGATTTTAATACTTTGTTAAAGACTTGTCAAACTAACAAGACTTTGAATAACGTTAACTTTGCTCTTAAAATCACGTGTATAGATCTAAAGTCGAACCTCGATCATCCAGCCACCACTTATCCGGTTGTCATATTTTTGGATACATAAGTATGTTTTTTCCTGTAAAAACTGTCCCAGTAATCGAGTTGTCTCCTAAACCAGCCACTTTTGCTTGTAAAAAGGGTGAATGAATTATCGAGGTTCCCTTTCCTCACATTGAAATTAAGACAGGTAAATCTCCACACAACGGGTAAATTCATCTATATAAACCCGAGACGTCGGACAAAGCTATACGTCAGTTAATCTTACCCCGAGGGCTGAGATTTCCCTCTTTTGATTTTTACTCCCCAGGCTTAATCCCTCACACAAACGGAAACATTGCAGCTTTCCTCCTACCAATTACTGTTACTAAACACCATAGAAACATGTCGGGACTGAGCAAAAATAGTCAATAGTGTAGCGGGTTGTTTGTGGCAGAGACACAAAATTAGCAAGAAACATGTAGCCCCACTAGACAAACAAGTAAATGTGTACACTGAACCATTCATCGGGTTTGCGTATCATAAATTACAAAAATCTTTCATATTAGATGTATTGTATCATCCTAAAGCAGGTCCTACTTCCAGGTCACCGTGTTAAGCTTGCCTTCATTCTAGGACGGGGACTGCAAACTGCAAAGTTGGTGGATAAACGTATCCGAAAAATCACTCCTAGTGATTGAGATTTGGGATCCCAACCCCCGGATTGGTAAGCTTCATGTTTGTCAGCTTGACATGTCGACCATTCCTCCTTCTTCCTTTGCTTGGAGAAAGACGATACTATCAATCTGTTCTGCTGTGAATTACACGTAGTGATGCTTGGAACATACTTATAGTACGTAAATTTCATGACAGGGTCAGGTTTTATTTTTATTGATTTCACCGTCATGACAATGTATCCGCCCAATCCGATTTACCGATACAAACATCCTTTGGTCGCCACCACTGTTCAATGTCATTGTACCACACGGGGGGCAGGAGGGGTTCATGCAGAAGCCCACACAGTCGACACCATGGCTTTGTTTCAATGAACTCGCCCTCCTCCCGCCAACGGAAGTACTCATTATACAAAGTATCGTTTTTGTCCAATTTGTGTAAATACTGCGCAAGTTCCTCAGGAGACCGGAAGTCCTCTACATGAATGAAAGATCCGCTTGGTAGTATCGACTGATATGTTGCCTTCGGGGCGCCTAGCACTATTGGTATTACTTTGTTTCTGAAAAGAGACAAAAAGAACAGTTTTAATAATGATAATTAGATTCGAAAATCAAACACAATATCTTAAGCTATATCTGGAAAATGATAAATAAACTAATTTAATAAATAATCAGAAAAGGATAAGAGAACCGTTAAAAAGATATATTGGCCCAGAAATCCCATGTGTAACAACAACTATATTTTAGTGTTACCATAATTTGTCGCCGTATTTTTTCCGATGGTTACAAACAGTCTAAACGTTTTTTACCATGGATTAGCAGCCGATTTATTTACTGAGGTGAAGTACAACCTGTACCATTGTACACACAACAACATGTATTTAATATTGAAATATAACCCATTATATCCACCGTTAAAACACCAGATCACAGCAAACAAATCTTAGATATATCAAAGTTACACTGGGATCCGTTAACGTATGTACCGTTCTCACACAATAATAAAACTGTGATGAGTATATTTTTGTGGTTTTTGCTCCAAAAAACAGTTCGCCGGTTGGTACGAGCGTACGTACTTCTTCTGATTACCGAATAGACGGGTTAGCTGCAATTCATACCTACAATGTTCCATGTATATAGGTTTTAAGCTCACGACAAGCAAATCAATGCGTTATTTTCAACATAATTAAGAGTGAAGAAATGAAATTTGAACTGCGTTACTCTTAAATAAAGATCACTTACTTTAACGCCTTGACGGCTTTTTCGGTGACGTAATCCAGACATTTGGTGTTTTCGAATGCCAAGTAAAACTTGTAATCAGTCTCGAGCATGCGCATACATTTTTCATCCTCTATCTGGGGGCAGCGTTTTGTTCCGCATGCACCATAGATATCTACTTCAATATATTTGGCAAGTTTTTTAGCGTAAGCCATCCTCCCACTTCTTGTCATCATGCAATTAGAAACTAACCAAGCAACCTTTTTTGTCTTCCTATTGGCGTAATTTGTCGTAATGTTTGTCTTAGTGTAAACGTCCTTATATTTCTGGTATTTGAAATACGGTGTTTCTATCACTGAATCAGTTCGATAAGTCATGGTCCAATTAAAAAGTCCGTTGTACTTTTTCAGCGTCCTAGAATTCATTGGGCACTCAATCATAGATACCGCCCATACTTGATTCGGAGACTTCCTCGGAAATGGAGGTATCCGTGGAAGTTGCCCAGGGTTACTAAACACAACTGCGTCAGCGTCAGCTCCATGTTTTGTATCGTATGTTATCTTACATGCCTTTATACGACACTGCTCAAACGCCGCCATCCCTGGCGGATGGTGCCAAAAACCTTGCTTTCCTGAGAGATAAACAACCTTGACATTGGCGGAGTTATACTTTATTGACACGTGATTCAGTTGATGGAAAATTCGTCCAGCGTTATATTTCACATCTTTTTCAGGGATTGACATGTCTAAAATGTGAGTCCGAACAGGCAGTAGGTCCAGTATGTCACGAGACACACCGTGGTCAAATTCGTCTGTAAACTTTGAATCATAAATTTCCAGAGTCGCTATTTTCTGAAAAGTCCTTCCCTGGAATTTAGTTGTTAGTTCAGTAGGTTCTTTAGGTGGCAGCGCACTTGACCTTTCCGTAGAAGATGATGCTGTTATTTTAGCCGATGTCGAGACTGAATATGTTCGAGTTGATGCTACTTTCAGTGATGATGGAGTTGTCAACAATTCGTCGTCCGAATCGTAATCGTAATTCCATGGCTCCACGTGGAAAATAGTATTATCAGAATGTTTTGTTGAATCATATTCAATATCGAAAACGAATGTTTCCGAAATCCTTTTTTGTATAGAAACGTGTTTGTATGGAAATTGTGCTCTATAGACGATGCTAAATAAAATAAAAAACCAAACACCCACAAACACTGGTACGAAAGTTGGATACCAACGTACACAAATAACAGACATCCGTATCATATTCCCTTGTGTCCGGAAAATGGTTAAACCGTCCTCGGAGTAAAATAGTACATACCGTACTTCCTGGTATTTTGGCAACCATCATTTGAGCCTAGGGTGTTACTTGCCAACAGCGATATATGTATAGTCCGAGTATATAAACTTGGTCCAGCGTTATAGTCACTATTTCTTTTCGCCTGGTCAGTAATGCCTTAGGCTACACTGGCCTTAGCCATTTGAACACATCCGGGTATGGGTTATGACTATACATGCATTGACATATATCTGACGGACATGTCTACTGCAGTAATCTGGCATTATCGATAGATATCGGCAAATTATAGCACCTGTATAGATTTGGAGACAAAATAATTCACTGATGAATGTTTAAAATTCCACCCTCCCATTCTCTCTTTGTGAAGTTGTTGAAAAAAAAAGAAAAAAAGAAAGAAAAGAAAAAACAATCAATCCCATTTTTTAGCACCATTGCAGGCTCCATCTGGCTTCCACCAATGTTGGATGTCCTCATACCACATTAACGGAAGTGACGTTTCATGGAGAAGTGTACAGACTCTGCACCAATTCAAATCATCGATGATTTTATCTCCTGTCTCTTTCCATTTGAAATATTCATTATATAAGGTGTCATTTTTGTCCAACAGATTTAAATATTCGCCTAGCTTTTGAGTGGACTCGAAGTCTTCCACATGGATGTAAGAATGTTTAGGTAATACTTGGGCGTAGTCTTCCTTCCTGGCTCCTAATACTATGGGTATCAGCTCCGCACTGGAATCAAAAAGATGGAATACATTAGATATCTATATTTAAAAATAAAATAATGCCTTCTAATATGATCTGAAGGTAATCCAGAAAACAATATACAATTGTATTCAAAAATTGTTTCCGGTATGTTTAATATGTAAAAGAAATGCTGAAATCATCCTTGATTTATTGATATTCATTAATCAATCAATAAATTCGTCATAAAATATTGTGCTGAAAATCATGTGATCAAGTAGTTATTGTATATTATAATTACATCTTTCGTTTACTTGTTCACACCTCAGATCAAAGTTGAACCATCAGTCGGCCTTAACAAAACGAAAATGTCTAATTTTACTTCCGTATCAGACTAGGATTACGTAAAATAGAGACTGTTTGTTGTCATGTAGCTCCGAGTCAATATGTACAATATAAAGATAAAAGATGTTTTCAAATAGTATTTTATCGTCTGAGGTCAAACTACTAGCGATTTGGGGGGACAACATAACCTAGTTACGTCAAATATACAATGTCGAGATCATCCACAGTAGTACCCGGATGTCAACCGGCAATTCCGTCGCTATTGGGGTATGGGTGTGTTCCAAGAAATCACCCAGACAACTTTACGCCGAGATTCACACCTGAGAGATGTTTTTTAAATATCCGACGTTAAATAAAGTGTATTGTATAGGATACCGGAGACAGGCTACGACAGTTGCCTATATTTTCACCCCGAAGATCCTGTCTCTAAAGAGCTCGACTGCAACAGACACCTCTAACACAGGGACACGAGAAGATGTTACACCTATGTTAGGACCTGCACTGAGTTGTTAAGACTAGTATTACATGTTTTAAGGGTTTCGATTTTTCGGTACAAATGCCAAGCCCAATGATTATATATGTAAAATTACTCTGAACACCTCAGTTTAGGTCCAAATATAGCTGTAACAAATGATCAGATCCCTGTGACCACCACCACCGAAACATGTGGTTTGATTGGCTGGTTAATTTGAGGGAAGAAATGTCTGGGCTTTTCGGAATCACAGCAGCTTATCGTACCAAATGTTACGATTAACATACCGTATATACCTGTAGGAGGTTAGCGTATATACCTGTAGGAGGTACCGTATTTACCTGCAGGAGGTTACCGTATTTACCTGTAGGAGGTACCGTATATATACCTGAAGGAGGTTACCGTATATATACCTGAAGGAGGTTACCGTATATACCTGTAGGAGGTACCGTATTTACCTGTAGGAGGTTACCGTATATAACTGTAGGAGGTAACCGTATATATACCTGAAGGAGGTTACCGTATATATACCTGAAGGAGGTTACCGTATATATACCTGAAGGAGGTTACCGTATATAACTGTAGGAGGTTACCGTATATACCTGTAGGAGGTTACCGTATATACCTGTAGGAGGTACCGTATATACCTGTAGGAGGTACCGTATATATACCGTTTTTACCGAAAGTTGATATAAACCCCTTAAACGTGTAAAACTACTCTTCACACCTTATTTTAGGTCAAAATATAACAGTAACAAATTATCAGGTCCCTTTGTTACGTAAGTGTTGGAATGCATGATGGCACAAGCAGACAGGCCTCTTGCCAGTAGCTAATGGAGAATGTGCCCTTGGTCCAGGGGTACAGGTACGCATATTGAATGCGTCATTTTCGCCATGAAATGCATTTTTTATACATTTGTGTACAGGAAGTGTATGTCGAACTCCATAATTAAGCTATGACACGACAATATCAAATTTAGCGTTGTGAGTAGTTTACGTCGGGAAGCCCTTAGGTACAGATTCACTTGAAAGGGATGGGCTGTTCAAATTACATCCAAACTGTCGTCATGTGATTTTGTCGTAAACATGAACTTGATCGTGTTGACTTTTTCAATGACAAAAAGTTTAAACTATATTTCACAATTTAATAGTTCACTGAAACCAACAATAACAGTAACAGGATATACATTTCTGTCTAATGGAAGTGTCGGAAAGAGAGAAAGAGTGAACAAATAGACAGAGTGAGCAATGAGACAGAGTGAACAATGAGACAGAGTGAACAATGAGACAGAGTGAACAAAGAGACAGAGTGAACAATGAGTTAGAGTGAACAATAGGACAGAGTGAACAATGAGACAGAGTGAACAATGAGATAGAGTTAACAATGAGACAGAATGAACAATGAGATAGAGTTAACAATGGGACAGAGTGAACAATGAGACAGAGTGAACAATGAGTTAGAGTGAACAATGAGATAGAGTGAATAATGAGACAGAGCGAACAATGAGTTAGAGTGAACAATAAGACAGTGATAACAATGGGACAGAGTGAACTATGAGACAGAGTGAACAATGAGACAGAGTGAACAATGAGACAGAGTGAATAATGAGACAGAGTGAACAATGAGACAGAGTGAACAATGAGACAGAGTGAACAATGAGATAGAGTTAACAATGAGACAGAGTGAACAATGAGATAGAGTTAACAGTGGGACAGAGTGAACAATGAGACAGAATGAACAATGGGACAGAGTGAACAATGAGACAGAGTGAACAATGAGATAGAGTGAACAATGAGACAGAGTGAACAATGAGACAGAGTGAACAAAGAGACAGGGTGAACAATGAGACAGAGTGAATAATGAGACAGAGTGAACAATGAGTTAGAGTGAACAATGAGACAGTGATAACAATGGGACAGAGTGAACTATGAGACAGAGTGAACAAAGAGAAAGAGTGAACAATGAGACAGAGTGAATAATGAGACAGAGTGAACAATGAGACAGAGTGAACAATGTGATAGAGTGAACAATGAGACAGAGTGAACAATGAGACAGAGTGAACAAAGAGACAGGGTGAACAATGAGACAGAGTGAATAATGAGATAGCAACTGACGTTGTGTTCGCATTTACATTAACATTTACGACTAAATGTCACCATATACAGACAGCTGTGGATGTTGATTTTCACGTTGCCACATGTATTATTGTTATTTAGATAATACGGATATTACGACTATGGTGATGGTTTAGCCACGTTGCAACAACCGCGTCCTGAAACTAACATCGATTCATGAAACATTTCTTGTGACAATTTTGCCAAAAATAGAGGTCTTAAATGAACAGCTGTATCATTGTCGATGAGCTTTAAAATATTGACATAGATATAACTCATTTCTGGGCAGTCTTTCATCATAGTATCGATTGTCACCATTATTATTTTTCTGTTATTTCTTTGCATGTAAAATATATGAACTAAGTAAGGGTTCAAGTCGGGATTTCGACATAAAATGAATGATGTGTGTTTGTGTGTATGCTGTCTGTCTGTATTCATGTGTATAAAGTATATGTATATGTAAGAACTTTAAATATCAAACGTTTAAACACTAGGAAGACTATTCTTAAGCATATGAAAAGCATAATTTTCGATAAAAGGCCTCTTTCTTATGACAGAAAGTGAACATGAGAGGAATGATTGTTTTATAAAAACTTACTCGTAAGCGTTCATCACTTTCTCCGTCAAATAGTCGTGGCATTTGTGGTTCTCAAACGACAGGTAGAACTTGTAGTCCCTCCTGGTCATTTCGACGCATTCTTTGTGTTTGGACGCTGGACAAGACAGTGGACCACAGTGCCCGTAAATGTCCACTTGCACGTGTTTACCCAGTTCTCTTGCATACTCCATACGTCCACTCTTTACAATATTGCAGTTAGAAACCATCCAAGCGACCTTTTTGGTCCGGCCCTCGGCGAAATTGCGACCTGGGGTCGGGATATCAGGAGGCGTCCAACAATTCCGTCCAATTTTGAAATAGGGATCATAAATTGTAGAGTCTACTCTATACGTGTTTGTCCAGTTGAAAAAGTTTTTATAGTTATTCATTGGCCACGATCTATCTGGACTCTCATTGATGTTTAAAATTGCAATTTGTTTAGAAGATGATTTTTGAAAAGGTGGTGATAACGGTAGAAATCCAGAATTAGCAAACACAACAGCATCAGCCGTGGCCTCCGCACTTCTCTCGTGGGTTAAACTACAGCGGTTCACCTTGCAGTGCTTGAAGAATTCTAATCCCGTGGGAACGTTTGTCCATTTTTCCATGTGCCAAATATACACAACTTTGATATCCGATTTACTGGAGTAAGTTCTCGGCACATATTCTAATTGTTCGTAAACTCGATCTGACGGAGCATTCGTATGGAGGAAATCGTCCGGAAGTAGGCGCAAAATACGTTGTTTCTCCGATTCGCTAATGTTAACTTCCGGCGGAAAGTATCTGATGGGATGTAGCCGGTTTTTGGTTCTATCAAAACCAACATTTAAGTTTGTCCTTGTCGGCGATTTCGAGATGTCTAAACAATAACTTGAATTAAATATTTTTGAATGAAAATCCTCCGATACATAATTATAATCTGACGTTATTTTCTTCGTTATAATGACATTGCGAGAGTTGTGTTTGTGTTCCATCTGCCTCACAAAGTAATGCGGTCTCAGATTGATCATTCCTGTTACACAGACTACCATAACGACAGTGAGAATAAATACCTTTTCCTGCCATTTTGTGTTTCGTGTCCAGAACACTCTTCTCAGTAGTCCCATAGTTTGATAGAAAGTACACCTGTTCTGCACATTCACAAATACAGGGAACTCGTTTAGCCAACATAGAATGACTGTTACACGACTCCCGACGCCCTACATGTATACAGTACTTACTATACGTTACGCCTCGCTTAATAAGACAGTGAACTAATGTCTGTTTACACGCGGTAGGACCTCTGAGGACGGTATATACGAAGTGTGTACCCGGCTAACCCTGGGGGGCTATGTATATGTATATATACATATGCAAAGTTCCTGCCTGCAAAACGTGCAATGAAGGAAGTTGCAAATTAGCTACCTTCCGTCGTAACGTGGCACGCACATCGAAACGTCGATTAGTCGGAACATAACGAAGAATTAAAAAAGCAGATGAAACAAACGAACGCCAGTATATTATTTAAATCTTTTCTTGTTGAAAAATAAACATATAATTCATATCGGCTTAACAAATTATATTTGAACTCCGGAAATTTGAGCATTATAAATAGGCTATACTGATTAAGGAAGGTAAATCTTGAACTTTTAGCTTAAACAAATACTCATGTGTATTTCTACTTGCCAGACTGAGTGGACAAAATACAATCCTTGAAAGGAAATACATTGTTTTCAATAGCTGCTTGAAGCCCCGGTCCGGACATAAGTTGGTAGAGTTATATCTATGGATACTCTCGTTAGCGAGGAAACAATAGGTTGTGTATTCATAGAATCCATCGCTGATGTGAGGTATGAATACGGTTATTCAAACCCAAGGGATAAAATATTGAGCAGGAGACCCGAGGCTTTGCTTTAAGTTCATCTTTAACTTTAGATGAGTGTTTGATGGAACCTTGTTAGTCCGGACATTTTATGATGTATGTTTGCTGGAACCTTGTTAGTCCGGACGCTTTATGATGTATGTTTGATGGACCCTTGTTAGTCCTGACACTTTATGATGTATGTTTGATGGAACCTTGTTAGTCCGGACATTTTATGATGTATGTTTGATGGAACCTTGTTAGTCCGGACACTTTTACTTATTAAAGTATTAGAACCTCGACATTGCGGATATGTTGAATGTCTGTGAGTAGAACCTTGACAGTCAGGACACTGGTCTGCGTTCAGAGCAAAACTTGTATAGTGTGAACACTTTGTGTACAACGGGTCTTTGATAGTCCAGACAATCTTTGATGGGTCCCTCGTTAGTCCAGACATTTGAATTTGTGAAGTGAAACTTCGATAATCTGGACACTTTGGTTTTACATATCGGAAGACTTCTCGCTAGGAGGAGCAAAGCGTATATTGGGGAAAGGGATGAGGGGAGGTAACGTGCGTGTGTGTGTGGGGGGGGGGGGGAAATTTTGTTTAACGTCCTTTTAACAGCTAAGGTCATTTAAGGACCTGCCTCCATGTGACTTTATAGTGCTATATCACTGAAATACCATGCCGAAGGAACCCAGCACAGCATTCCGCCCGGTCACATTATACTGACAACGGGTGAAGCAGTTGTTGTCATTCCCTAAATGCTGAACGTTAAGCAGGAAATAACAACTACCATTTTTAAGGACTTTGGTATGTCCCGGCCAGGGGACAGAGCCCATTACCTTCCTCACATGGGCGAACGCTCAACATTAAGGCCAAAAGTGAGGTGTTGCCAAGCAAGGCGTTAGGAAATAAAAGGTAGTTAGATGTAGAAAGAAAGATAAAGATCCCAAATATTGCAATGGGTGCAGCAGATTTATTGTGGTAGCTTTTGTGTCCCCAAATAAAGGACACCAACGCAAATCGCCAATTCTGCAGGGGGTTCCCCCATTAGTCGCCTCCTACGATACACTTTTCCCGATTCCCAACCTGCAGGGGTGGTGTGTGGGGGTAGAATAATGGGGTCGATGTAGGGGGATGAGGGTCATATCTATCATTTATGCAGTCTGACACATTTTTAGCTCACCTGGCACGAAGTGCCAAGTGAGCTTATGCCGTGGCGCGGCGTCCGTCCGTCTTCCGTCTGTCTGTCCGTCCGTCCGTCCGTCCGTGCGTCCTCGTCCGTCAACTTTTTCTTTAAACAACTTCTTCTGAAGAACGGACAGGCCTAGAGTCATGATATTTGGCTGAAAGCTTCGTTGGTAGGAGCCCTACAAAGTTTGAGAACGAAAATGACCTTGACCTGCTTTCAAGGTCACAGGGGTCAAATATGTCAAAAACTTCAAACGACTTCTTCTGAAGAATTAAAAGGTATAGAATCTTCATATTTGGCTGATGGCTTCCT